GGACGGCTGTACGGCGGCGGGAGCCGCGCCCGAACGCGGGTAGCACGGAGGGGGACTGGGGCAGGCGGTTCCGCTGGCTCCAGCTGTTTTGGGGCGTACACAGGGTTGGGTGGTCCTGGCACACGTCTGCCTCGGGGTGACCCCCCCTCCCCTTGCTCCCTCCCTCCCCACAGCGTCGGGGCTGGCGGAGATGGGGGCGCACTGGATCCACGGCCCCTCGCCAGGGAACCCCATCTTCCGCCTGGCCACCAGCTACGGCCTGCTGGGCCCGGAGGCTGCCCGCGAGGAGAACCAGCGGGCTGAGGCGGGGGGCCACCCCCCGCTGGCCTCGGTCACCTACAGCAGCTCCGGGAGGGCGCTGAGTCCCCAGGTGGTGAGCGAAGCTCGTGACCTCTTTGACACCCTCCTGGCCTCTGCCCGTGCTTTTCGGGGGGCTGAGGAGCCACCGGCACTCAGCGTGGGGCAGTACCTGCGGGCAGAGATCGCCCGGAGGGTCCCCACTTCGGCAGGGGGCAAGGACGCATGGCGGCTGCAGCTGGCCATCCTCGCTGCCTGCCTCAAGCTGGAGTGTTGCATCAGCGGGACCCACAGCATGGACTTGGTGGCCCTGGAACCCTTTGGGGAGTACGTCTCCCTGCCCGGCCTGGACTGCACCTTCCCAGGGTAAGCGCAGGGCTCTGGAGCGGGACATGGAAGAGCGTTTTGGGGCGGTCCCCCGTCCCCAGCAGCACCTCCTCCCGCAGCGGCTACAGCAGCTTGCCTGATCGCATGCTCTCGGCTCTGCCGGAGGGTGTCCTCCTGCTCAGCAAGGCCGTGAGGACCATCCGGTGGAGAGGGTCCTTCCACGAGGAAGGGGATGAGGCACGGGATTTCCCCGTCCAGGTGGAGTGCGAGGATGGAGACACCTTCCTCGCCGACCACGTCATTGTCACCGTCCCACTGGGTGAGGACACCAACCCCTTTCCTTGCTCTCCCTGTCCCCTCCAACCAGCTGCCATGGTTGGAGACGGGCAGATGGAGGGCAGACGCCCAAACCCCTTCGCAGCCTCTCCTCTTGCAGCAGGGCTTCCTCCCACAGTGGAAGAGGGGAGGCTGGGAAGGCAAAGTATCTCAGCCCCCATGTAGGAGCCTGGTGAACAGAGCTGCCCGATCTGCCCAATCCTCTGCCTGCAGGTTTCCTCAAGGAACACCACCAGAACTTCTTCCAGCCTCCCCTGCCCGAGCGGAAAGCAGAGGCCATTCGCCGCCTGGGTTTTGGCACCAACAACAAGATCTTCCTGGAGTTTGAGAAGCCCTTCTGGGAACCCCAGCAGCAGCTCCTCGAAGTGGTGTGGGAGGATGAGTCACCCCTCGAGGAGTGCAGCGCTGACCTGGAGGCCAACTGGTTCAAGAAGCTCATTGGCTTTGTGGTCCTCCAGCCGCCGGAGCAGTACGTGACGGGAGGATCAGTAAAGGGGCATCATGGCCAGGAGGGATTTGGGCATCTTCCAGGCGATGTGAAGGAGCATCTCGGTCCCATCTGGAGCTTCAAAACCTTCCCTGGGTCACTGGTGGCCCATGAGGCAGCGGTGCTCCTGGGGCAGGGAGGGCACGGTGAGCAGCAGGAGGGCAGCAGGCAGCTCTCAGGCCCCATCTTCCCTCCCCAGGCACGGGCACGTCCTCTGCGGCTTCATCGCAGGGAAGGAGTCGGAGTACATGGAGACCCTGAGCGATGCGGAGGTGCTCGGCACCATGACGCGCGTCCTCCGCACACTGACAGGTATCACCCTCGTCACCCCAAACCCTCCCCCTGGGGAAACACACACCCGGATTTCTGGATCCCACCCAAAATCCATGCCTGCAGGGAACCCGTGCTTGCCTGCTCCCAGGAGCGTGCTGAGGTCCCAGTGGCACAGTGCTCCCTACACCCGGGGCTCCTACAGCTACGTGGCCGTCGGCAGCTCAGGGGATGACATTGATGTGCTGGCTCAGCCCCTGCCCGAGGACCCAGAGGATCCCAGGGTAATTACTTTTGGTTTAGGGGATGCAGCAGCTGTGGGGGAAGCAGGACCCCCTGGGCACAGGGACTGACAGACAGGGGTGGGAACAGGACGCCCCAAGCTTGAGGGGCACAGGGAGTTAGCATTCCCCACTCCCGTTCAGGGGTTACCAACCAACCCCCCCTTGACTGAGCTCCGCAGCGCTGGGGCAAACGACATTTCCACAAAATCTGGGGGCACATAGCTCCTCCCAACCACTTCCCAGCATCCTCACGGCAGGGGGTGGGTCTTTAAGAAAGGGAAGGCGCCCGCCCCTTGCTCTCTAAGTGGCTGCAGAGTGGGCCAAGGATCCGTGGGGTGTCAAAGGGCAGGGAGATGAGGCTGGTTTAGTACAACCCGGTGTCCCCGCTGAGCTGGGGGAGGTGGCAGGGTCCCGGTGCTCACCTCCCGCCTCGCCGCCAGCCTCTGCAGCTCCTCTTCGCCGGCGAGGCCACTCACCGCACCTTCTACTCCACCACTCACGGGGCCCTGCTGTCGGGCTGGCGAGAGGCTGACCGGCTCAACCAGCTCTTCGAGGGACCCAGCCCCCCTCCTCGGCTCTGAGGCGGGAAAATAAACCCCGTGCTTCGCTGTCGGACAGTCTCATTTATTGGGAGACCTCCCCGGCAGAGGGACGCGGAGGCTTCTGTCTCTCCGGGGGAATGGATGCGGCTCCTCGGCTCGGGGCTAGTGATGAAAAGGGGCTGCGGCGTTAGTACCAGTTGGTGCTGGAGATCAGGAAGCGGGTGTCGTCCA